GGGAAGAAAAGTTCCAAAAATTTTCACTATCATTAATAGACAAGACAGGAGAAGTTCTAATACTCAACATGTCATATTCAAAAGGAAAATGAGAACCCCTATCAAAATACAGGATAACGTGCAATAGGAGTTGAAAAAACTATTGACATATGTTTTATCTAAAAATTAAATAATCAATTTGAGACTGTTTTACCGCAGCAATTGTGATAACAGTTAAGAAAAACGATTCAATCAAGCTAGCACTGGACGCTCAACCGATACAAAGTCATTGGTTTAAAAAAAAATCAAGAGCTAGAAATTGATGAATTAATAGACAGGGTAAGCCAGATTATCACAGAAAAAAAAACAGAAGACACACTGTGATTCACAATGCTGGACCTGTAATAAGCTTATAGCCATATAATTTTAGCTATAAAACAAGTAATCAGCGTAGACGATAAATTGATTGTTTATCCAAGGATATGAAGATGTGAAGATGGACACGAAGCTAGTTGAAACAGAGATGGATACTCTCGATGAAAAATTATGGCCGTACATTATGTGAGCTTTTCAAAATAATGACGAGATTTGATAGGACATCATTAATCGGAAGATAATGTGATTCCAAAAAAATCAAATGCGGAAACAATTGTTCCGACTTTCGATACGAAAGTAACGGAATATTTGTGCTCGGGGTGGGTTTTTTTTTCTTCAGACAAATTTCGACTTTTTAACTAGCCATTTTTGACGGAATTTGGGACAATTTGTTACAAGGAGGGAAATCTATCCTTTTGTACTTTATACTGCATGTTAGGCGATGATTTTCATAAGAAATTTCAAATTTTAGAAAAAAAAAATTCATTTTGTTTTGTTTCATTGAATTTTTTAATGTTATTACTTCTCCATAAATCTTAAAAGGCAGTCTAAACATTCAGGGCTTCGCCCTGATACGAGCAGTTTTGTTTAAAATATAAACTCACCGAAAGTTTTAGAACAATTAGGATCGCTGTTATGCAATATCAACCATTTAGCGAAATTATGTCTAAACGCAGCCAGTTTAACAGAAAAGCTATTACTCAAAGAGGGTAAACAGAAAAAGATTGCTCGTATCAGGGCAAAGCCTTGAATGTTACGACTGCCTTTTAAGGTTTATGGAGCAGTAAAAACATTAAAAAACTCAATGAAATAAAACAAAATGAAAATTTTTTTTCTTCTAAAATTTGAATTTTTTTATGAAAATCATCACCCCACACGCCACACAAAATACAGAAGGATAGATTTCGCTCATTGTAACAAACCATTTATGACAAATAAGCTTCTTTTAACCAATTTGTAACGATTTCTAAGACTGATTAAATCTGCGCTTACGCGTTAATAGCGCAAACTATATCGCGCGTTAATTGTCCCAAATTGGCCAAAATGGCAATCTTTAAACCCCAGTAACTTTACGAAAAATGATCACAGGTGAAATATCTTTTCAAATTTGAGCTCAGGACAACAATACCTTTTGAATGATAAAAAAAACCGTCAAAAATGGCTAGTTAAAAAGTCAAAATTTGTCTGAAGAAAAAAAACCCACCCCGAGCACAAATATTCCGTTACTTTCGTATCGAAAGTCGGAACAATAAAAGTTTTGATTTGAGTGAAGAACATGCAGGATTAATTGAGAATTTCCAGAAAAGTGAGAAATAGTTCAAACTTCAATTATGATTCACCAAGAGGTATGAGAAATGTGAAGCAGCCAGAACGGAGTAGGGGCAACAGTAGAACAAAAAAATAGAGGAAGACAATAGGGTACCCATATCATTCCCTGAAAAACTATGATAAATGAATGTTCAAGCTGTTTGAGCGGTAAAAAGATAAAAGCCTTATTTTTTAGGAAAGAAATATATCATTGCTACAGATCACAAAGCTCTATTTTCAGGATTAGACGGAAACAATCAAATAAAAGGTAACAATCTACATTAGCCAGATGGTAGATTGATTGTTAACACATCACTTCAAAGTAGCTCATATCCCTGGAAAAGATATGGGATAGCTGTCTATTTGTCCACTAACACTAATGTGGACTTGTACCAAGTATCAGAAATTGACAAAAAATGTGCGCTTCCTGCGCCATAATTACATCGAGCACTAAAGTGTTTTGAATATTATGTTGTTATTTACAAAATAATAATAAAAAATTTGAGTGGTTCATGAATTAGCAGGCACTAAAAGAATCAATTTTTGACCAATTTATCTTCATTTTATAACGATAAAGTAAAACATTCCAAATCAATTAGCCAGTTTTGTATAATCTTAATCAAATGATAAGATTATGAAATAGTTTCAGTCGATTAATCTAGTACATTTCAATTTTTCTCATGTCTAAACTCAATATAAATTAATTTGGGAGTGTTTTGGTAGCCACTTAAATCCATGCAAATTACAATAAAATCAATTTATTTCGGCTTTTAGGGTTATAAAAAGACAAGACTGCTCGTATCAGGGCGAAGCCCTGGAAGTTCTTACTGCTTTTTACCGTTTATGGAGCAGTACTAACATAAACAACATAAAAAATTATATGAAATAAAATAAATGGAAAACTTTTTTTCTAAAATTTGAAAAATTTTACGATGAGAATCATCCCCCCATACGCCATATAAAGTACAAAACAATAGATTTCGCTCCTTGTAACAAATCAATTATGGCAAATAGGCTTCTTTCAACCAATTTGGAACGATTTCTAAGACGGATTAAATCTCCGCTTACGCGTTAATGGCGCGAATTATATCGCGCGTTAATTGTCCCAAATTGGTCAAAATAGCCAAAATGGCAATCTTTAAACCCTCATAACTTTACGAAAAATGATCACAGTTGAAATATGTTTTGAAATTTAAGCTCAAGACAAGAATAGCTTTCGAATGATATTAAAAAATTCCATCAAAAATGGCTAGTTAAAAAGTCGAAATTTGTCTGAAGAAAAAAAACCCACCGCGAGGACTAATATTCCGTTACTTTCGTATCGAAAGTTGGAACAATAACTATTATTTAGCCTCAAGCAGTTATTAAGCCAACATTATTTTGTTTTTGCTCCAGACTCTAAGCAAAAATCTGTTTTCACCTCAAAAAAGTAGTTTCAGGGGATCTTTTGAAGATTCTGCACTCTATGGGATCCTATGGTCATATGCGAAAAAATATTTCTTTATCTGTTTTTCTAAGGATCAAGATTTTTTAAAAAATATTGAAAAGCAAACCAAACATTTTTCAAAACTAAAGCAAATCAGAAGTAAAATGACCCGTTTTTTCATAGCAACACTTGCTATGATAAGTTGATGGTTGTCCTTTATTGATGACTGCTTGTTTCAAATGTTTGATTTTGAAGCTTTCTGATATTGTAGTGACAACGTTTTGTTGCCCTTAAAATATTTTTTTGTTTTTTATGGGACTATGTGTAGACCTTCTCGCGGCTGTTCTGAAAAAATCAGCAAATAACTTCATCTTGCCTTATGCATATTAAAAACTTATATATTAGATTAGGTTGCTGTTTGCATCTGTTATACAGTTTTGCGAGCGAAACGTCCGAGAAAATAACATTTCTCGATTTGCTAACTTCAAGTACCGACCGTGATCGTGGTATATTTTGACCGTGCTCGAGACGTGGTTCGACCTGCTCGAGGTATGTTTATCCATGCTCGATGTATGGCTCTACCGTGCTCGAGATATGTTTCAACAACTCTGCAGGCATGTTTGAACCGTGTTTGCGGTGTGTTTAAATTTTGTGCTCGTGGTATGTCTCGACCGTGTTCGCGGTCTATTTCGAAATTGTGCTCAACCCAAACCCCTGTCTCGAAAATTTTTTATCTGTCGAGAACTGACTTGTGCACGACTTTGAAAGTTTTAACATAAAGTGAGCACGTCGCTCTGGGTAAAAATACTCAAATTACATATTTTACAGTGTGTCAGTTTGTACTAAAGTACTAATTGCTTTAATTTTTCGTTTTCTGTTTTCTGTCTGTTTTGTCTTGAAAACAGGCTTTTCATCAATGGCACTTTTTGACAGTAAGTTTCAATCTGTTTGAGAATCAAATGACGCGCTACATGTTAACTATGGGGCAAGAGAGCATAGGGAAAGTTGTATGACTGTTTTCGATTAAATAAAATTGGTATAATAGCAAATCCAAAATTTATTTGAAATAAGTCCTTATTTCGATACAAATATTTTAGAAAATTAATCACGGAAACGTTTCAGGGGCGGTCATCCTCCCCTCAGGGATTCGACCCCCTGCCGACCCGAAGGGTCCCCCCTTACATCAATTTGAGAAATCCATACTTGTTGACGGGCCCTAAAAAATTTTAAGGGCGCCTTCGGCGACAATATATACTGTTTTTGAGGGAGGAATGCGCGTCGAAAAAGCGCGATTTTTTGGTCGAATTTTCCAAAAGTGCTTAAAAACGCCCTTTCTGCCTATTTCTTCTAATTTTGCCTGCGGCGCAGAAAATTTGACCACCAAAACAGGGTTTTTTTAGTTCTTCGGAAGAGCTCTGAAAATCAATTTGGTCGACCTAAAAAATAGGTCGACAAATTTTTCAAAAGTTTTTGGAACATCCGCCCCCATTGAAAAAATCCTAGATCCGCCCCTGAAAAGTTTGACCAAAAAATTGCGTTTTTTGAACGCGTGCTCGCCCTCAAAGTTAGTATTTATTGGCGCCGAACGCGTCTTTCGAAAATTTATAGGTTCATAATAGCAAAAGGGGACACTTTGGATAGTAAACCCCTTAAATCTGCCCCTGATTCATTGATTAGTGGTTCAATTTTTTCAAACACTTTCAAAACATAATTCATTTTGGATATTTAAAAGCAACAAAATTAGAAAGGCTATGTAAGATTGGCGATGTTTACAATGCTGTTCTAAACATCGCCATAAAGAAATTGGGTCCCTTGTAAGTTATTATGCTGATTTGAGGTTGTCAAAACGGGCTGAACATTTTGAAAGAATAGCAAACTTTCTATAATTGGTTGTTGGTTTAATAAAGCATAATTCGGGAACAGTTTCAGTTCAAGAAAGAACATTTTGATCAATATAATTTTAGTTAGTAACATTGTTTTCTGGCTGAATTCATCTTCAAACTATTCGCATACCCAAGGTTGGGCTCTGCAGATGACATTGTTTTTAAACCAAGTAAAAGTCAAGAGTTCATCGATCCTTTGGTACGTGAACATTCTATTTTGCAGATCTTCGTCTTGAAAAACAAACAAGTAAGCGACCCCCGGTTTCGAAGCTCCAAAAGACCAACGAGCTTCTCGGTTGAGATTACCGTGGCCAAAACCGACCGCTGTGATAATATTCAAATCACATTCGGAACTGTAAAAAGCGTCAATATACGACAACTTTTTGTCTTCGTTTCCGTAATCGGTTATCACCGAGAAAAAAAGCCTCGGCGGCAATAATGAATTCATGCCGGCGGTTGTCATAAAAATAAATTTACATTGGACATCGCAACATTCGTCATATTCGCTTCCTTGTTGTAAATAGACTGGGAACATATTGTGCTGTAAATAAATTTCTTCCATTACGCTTTTGCATTCCATCTCAGCCAGTTGAGCTAAAATGCGGGTAGTATGTCTCACGAATGGGTCAATTACGCCTTCGCCTGAAAAAAAGAGCGCTCATAAATAACGGGACAATGCAAAGTATCGCTCACCTGTTTTTAACAAGTTTTGACAAAAATAATCAGAAATCACTCGAGAAAACATCCTTCCCAAGCGAGTTTGAACTACAATAAACTTTGATTAATCGGATTACTCAAGCCTTCAATTTTGATGAAGCGAGCCGCTCCGAAATTAACGAAATAATTTCCCGATATCGACTCCATGATTTGACTAACATTGACAAGTTATTGAATAAATTTCAGTGATTTGAAAATTGCATATCTATTTACTTTGAACTTATTTTTTATTTTTGCACTCATTGACTACTGGTGCTCAACAGACTGTGATACTGATCCTACTGATCCTAACTGTTCCGACGACGCTGAAAAGCTCCACTCTTTAGCTAGCCATTTTCAAAACATTTTATATCAACTAATAGATAGCATTTCGAGCACCAAAATAAAAAGATCTTTACCGCATCTAGTTTTGTAAAATTATAGCAGTTTGATTTTGGGCTTTTTGACTATGACTCAGATTGAGACAAGTAGCTCAATGTATGTTTCGCCCTATTAAAGCGTATCTGGTTTGATCTTACAGAGATAGTCATCTATCTATGATTCAACAGCTTTGACAATATTATCATTTGCAGTGCTACATCATATAAAAAAAATGATCATAACAGCACTGGAGATGAGAAAAATCAGTGATTTCGGATCAATGAATAAAAAAACCAGCAATGCAATAATTTTTTTTAGAAGTTTTGCAGTTTTCTTTCAGCAGGTATAATAAGCTTTTCGTTGCCATCTAGGCGTCAATAGCAAAAAGTTAGCGAATTTGACTAGAAAACTACAGAATTTAGGTTTGAACTTTATCCTGAATTCTTGGATTGATCGTCTTACAAAGAAATCCCCTATCTTAGAACTTCTTAATAGATTATTAATTTTGTACGAAATTTTCCCTATTTTGCATGTTTCTAATAAGAAAACTTCTATAAGATTAAATCATTTAAAAAAATATAAAAATGGATAAAAGTTAACTTCGAAAAACTTTTCAATTTTTTTCAAACTCCAGCAAGTAAAAACGTCCACATTGTAACAAAAAAACCAATTGTTTGCAATATAGATTCCATTCACCGTAAAATTTACTACATTTACAACCCAATGAAATCCGTAGAGAGAACGCCGTGGAACTTTGCTGCCCATTTTTTTGCGCCTCTGATCCTGCGATGGCTTCTGTTGGTTTTTAATATGGATAGTTAATCAAAAAATCAATAAAAATGGTTGATTCAACAAAAAAAAAACTAAAATTTTTTGAAGCAAAAAAGCAAAATAAAATTGACAGCAAGTTTTTCTAATGTTATTTCCACTTTAAAATGAGTTAAGCCAGTTGATAATTTCCGAGAAAAAATTTCTCTCAGAACTCCTGATTGAAGATTTGTAATTGATATTATGTGCAGCCCTGAATCCAGGTAAGGATTACTGGGTACTATTTTAGAACAGGAAAAATTAAAATTTTTTATTTCTAACATTTAACGAACTTTTTTATTACCCTTTGAATGCACACGTATATGCCTAGCTGAAGTTTTCTTGTTCAAAATTGTATTTAAATTTTTCTCAGTTACAGCTTCTTGAACTATGGTTGATATGCACTCTTTTCTAAAAAGTTTTTATAGTAAATTTAATAATTCTTAGATATGTAAATCTTTTATGAAGTATTTTTTCTGTTTTTGTCCTTTTCTTCTATGCCCTCATTTCTTCTCTTAACACAAATAATTTTCCGAAATCCTTTGATTCTAAATTCAACTGTTTTTATATGAGTTTTATCTGTTGATGCATGAGCAGAAACCCAGTACTGTAAAATGGGTTTCAATTAAACGTTATATCCTCTTAGTAGTTGATCTTAAACACGAAATTTTCTCAACCTGTTATACTTACCACAAAACGTAGACCAATTAGTTTCTAGCTGATGTTTTTATGACAATGTTGTCTGCAAATAAAATTAGATTAATTTCCTATTTTCATCTAACTCAATATCATTTGTATAAAAAATGAAAGGAAGCGGGCCTAATATGGATCTTTGTGTTACTCCATACCAATGGGATCCAACCTCCGATGTACAATATTTGAATTTGTTTTTATCAAACTGTTCAGTTAATCATTTTTAGTTCAGAATCTATTTTGGTTAAGAAAAGCATTTTTGACGAAAGGTACATTGATTTTTATCTGATTCTAAGAAAATTGATAAAATAATCTTATACAAATGCAAGAAAAGTCATTATCTTAAAATTTTTTTACTTCAAAAAATATGATCTTAGAGCTTATAGTTAGTAAATTAGGAAATCTGAAAAAATTGAAAGATTTTTATAGAAACGTTCCAAGACCGCGATTTTCGGTCAACCAGGGTTTTTATTTTTTCTTGCGTTATTCAGCGCTGACTCATCTATTTTTTGGCACCTGGCGATGGATAAGAGAGAGGCTGAGTCACTGATACGTTAAGCGACAAATTTGATCATTCCAAATTGTATAAGGACAACAAAATTAGGCCTAAGATAGACCAGGCGCAGGTAACCGAACATAGCAGGCAGAGGATTGAAATTAGAAAAATAGTTATCGAGCGTATTATCATTTTTTAACCGAATACTCTTTCATCGATGTTAAACAGCAGTCGGAACAATCAGAGATTCGCCCTGATACGAGCAATCATGTTTACTTTGAGCTAAAAACACTTGGTTCTGGGGTGCAGCAGGGTCTGTTTTGTAAGTGACGAAGCAGTAGAAGCGACTGTACTCGGCACACAGTCGGCCAATCGTCGTGAAGTTGTTCGGTATGTTGTAAATAGTAGATGCCCAGAAGAAAGTTTCAAGATCGTGTAAATTTTCTCTCACTTTTTTAGTGCAAATGTCTTCCCAAATTTGACAAGAATTGGAGACAATTTTTTTTCTATCATTTTTTTCTGTGAAAAAACTTTTCGTTAAAAATCTTTTACAAAAAAGTTCGAAAAAAATCTGCATTAAAAATTTCCAACTTTTCGGCGAAAAAACATTAGTCTTCAAAAATGTACCTTTTTATTATATAACAGAAACAATGAACTAGAACAGACAATTATTGCCCTGGGCGAATCAAAATGTGAGTGTCTTTTGTTTGGGAAAACATCAAGATTCACCTATATCGTTGGAACCCGAAGTAATTGCGAGTAATTTCAGGCTGATAACTGCAATCAAGATCGAACTCATAGTGATTCGATAATCTATCAGTTCACTGATGTTATCGATTTGGTAGAAGTTATTTGGCTCTCAAGTAATAAAGAGTTTTTTTCATTTATTTATGGTGCTGTTCTGACTTTGTTTATTTTAAGTTTAGAGTCAAAAGATCAATTTATTTATTCCGATTCTTATTCAAACAGAAAACTCTTTAGTGTATGAAAACAAATAGTCATTTACTTCAAGGTGATGCAACATGAAAATATCTAATAAAAGCTTATATTCACAATCAAGAATGTTTGCAAATATCCAAAATTACTCTTACTGGGTCAAAAACCCAGCAAGACTGCTCGTATATAATTGCAAAGGCCTATACTTATCGATTGCCCACAATCATCAATCACAACGTTTTTAAATAAAAACATTTGTAAAATGTTTGAAAAACATTACGAAGCCAAACTGTGCATTTTGTGAAATGTAAGCGGATTCAGCATCAAGGACACTCCCTTTTTTCTTCTTTTGTTCTTTTATTTTTGGTGATGGTTCCGACAAAATGCTAACATGTTTAAAGACTTGTTTTGAGAATCCAGGAACATACAGACACAATACTGTGCGCCTATCCATTGTACAGTGGGGCCTCGTAATGACCAAATTGATTTTCTGAGGTCTCAAAAATCAACTATAAAGACCCTGTTTTGACCAAATTTTGTGAGCCGGCGAACAAAATTTCTTCCGCTTGAGATCTTTTGAAAAAACGTGTTTTTGGACATTTTTTGGAAATTTTTAACAAAAAAAAATCGTTTTTCGGTGTGTCCTCCCCTTCAAAAATAGCGTATATTGGCATTCAAAATCTTAAGTGTCGATCAGTCAAATTGGATGCCCTTAAAAGTACCAAAAGGCCAAAGAGAGAAATTTTTGAAAATTTTATGCCCCACAAGCTATGGAAAGCTCTAAAGGAGGTTTTTTGCATGTGTGAACGTATTTTTAAGAGAAACTTGCATCCAGAACCGAGCGCCCATGGATCATAATCGATTATATTGTCACAATAAATTTTTTTATTTCATCGCAGGTTAACACTTCATTTTACTGTTTTTTTACCACATTCCCCCTCCTCCCAGTTTACCTCTAGTTTACTGACCCCTCTACCCCAGTTTAGCCTCCCCCCAGTTATGCCCCCACCCCCAGTTTAAATCCCCCCCCCACACAGTTTACTACCTCCAACCACTTTACTACCTTCCCAGTAAAAAGCTTGAGGGGCGAGGCGATGACGTGGAGACATGGAATTTAGTAAAACACATGGCACTCATTCCGCAAATTTCTCGCAAAGTTTGCTAACTTTTGCAAAAATATTTAAACTTAGTTCTAAAAATGAAATGAACTATAATCGATTATGATGGATTATAATGCAATTTTATTTCAAAAATAACCAAAATGGATTTTTTCGAGGGGTTATTTACGTAATTTGCAGTTTTGTTCAAAGTTGTCTGATTTCCTGTTTAGTGCAGTTGCTTGATCTTACTTTTCATGAAATTTTACATTTCAGAAAAAAATATATATTTTTTTTGTCTCTGCTTTTCTTAAATTATCGCAGATTAACACTTCATTTTACTGTTTTTTTTACTACACTCCCCTCCCCGCAGTTTACCGACAACACCCCCTTCCCAGTTTACCCTTCCCCAGTTTCCCAGTAAAAAGCTTGAGGGGGCGAGGGGATGACGTTTAGACATGGCATTTAGTAAAACACATGGCATTCATTCTGCAAATTTCTCGCAAAGGTAGCTAACTTTTGCAAAATAATTGAAATTAGTTCTAAAACTGAAATGAATTATAATCAATTATGTTGGATTAAAATGCAATTTTATTTCCAGAATAATCGAAAAGGGAGTTTTTCGAGAGGTTATTCACGAAATAGGCAATTTTGTTCAAAGTTATCTCATTTCCTGATTAGTGCAGTTGCTAGATATTGATTTTCATGAAATTTTACATTTCAGAAAAAAAAATTATATATTTTTTTTGTCTCTGCTTTTTTTTAACACGCAGATTAACACTTCATTTTACTGTTTTTTTTACCACACTCCCCCTCTCCCCAGTTCTTTTGTTCTTTTATTTTTGGTGATGGTTCAGACAAAATGCTAACATGTTTAAAAACTTGTTTCCAGAATCCAGGAACATACAGACACAATACTGTGCGCCTATCCATTGCACAGTGGGGCCTCGTAATGACCAAATTGATTTTCTGAGGTCTCAAAAATGAACTATAAAGACCCTGTTTTGACCAAATTTTGTGAGCCGGCGAACAAAATTTCTTCCGCTTGAGATCTTTTGAAAAAACGTGTTTTTGGACATTTTTTGGAAATTTTTAACAAAAAAAAATCGTTTTTCGGTGTGTCCTCCCCTTCAAAAATAGCGTATATTGGCATTCAAAATCTTAAGTGTCGATCAGTCAAATTGGATGCCCTTAAAAGTACCAAAGGGCCAAAGAGAGAAATTTTTGAAAATTTTATGCCCCACAAGCTATGGAAAGCTCTAAAGGAGGTTTTTTGCATGTGTGAACGTATTTTTAAGAGAAAATTGCCTCCCGAATCGAGCGCCCATGGATCATAATCGATTATATTGTCACAATAAATTTTTTTATTTCATCGCAAGTTAACACTTCATTTTACTGTTTTTTTACCACATTCCCCCTCCTCCCAGTTTACCTCTAGTTTACTGACCCCTCTACCCCAGTTTAGCCTCCCCCCAGTTATCCAGTTATACCCCCACCCCCAGTTTACCCCACCCCCCCCCACAGTTTACTACCTCCAACCACTTTACTACCTTCCCAGTAAAAAGCTTGAGGGGCGAGGCGATGACGTGGAGACATGGAATTTAGTAAAACACATGGCAATCATTCCGCAAATTTCTCGCAAAGTTTGCTAACTTTTGCAAAAATATTTAAAATTAGTTCTAAAAATGAAATGAACTATAATCGATTATGATGGATTATAATGCAATTTTATTTCAAAAATAACCAAAATGGATTTTTTCGAGGGGTTATTTACGTAATTTGCAGTTTTGTTCAAAGTTGTCTGATTTCCTGTTTAGTGCAGTTGCTAGATCTTACTTTTCATGAAATTTTACATTTCAGAAAAAAGTATATATTTTTTTGGTCTCTGCTTTTCTTAATTTATCGCAGATTAACACTTCATTTTGCTGTTTTTTTTTACCACACTCCCCTCCCCGCAGTTTACCGACAACACCCCCTTCCCAGTTTACCCTTCCCCAGTTTCCCAGTAAAAAACTTGAGGGGGCGAGGGGATGACGATTTTACCGACAACACCCCTTCCCAGTTTACCCTTCCCCAGTTTCCCAGTAAAAAGCTTGAGGGGGCGAGGGGATGACGATTTGAAATTAGTTCTAAAACTGAAATGAATTATAATCGATTATATTGGATTAAAATGCAATTTTATTTCCAGAATAATCGAAAACGGAGTTTTTCGAGAGGTTATTCACGAAATAGGCAATTTTGTTCAAATTTATCTCATTTCCTGATTAGTGCAGTTGCTAGATATTGATTTTCATGAAATTTTACATTTCAGAAAAAAATATTATATATTTTTTTGTCTCTGCTTTTTTTAACACGCAGATTAACACTTCATTTTACTGTTTTTTTACCACACTCCCCCTCTCCCCAGTTCTTTTGTTCTTTTATTTTTGGTGATGGTTCCGACAAAATGCTAACATGTTTAAAAACTTGTTTCCAGAATCCAGGAACATACAGACACAATACTGTGCGCCTATCCATTGCACAGTGGGGCCTCGTAATGACCAAACTGATTTTCGGAGGTCTCAAAAATGAACTATAAAGACCCTGTTTTGACCAAATTTTGTGAGCCGGCGAACAAAATTTTTTCTGCTTGAGATCTTTTGAAAAAACGTATTTTTGGACATTTTTTGGAAAGTTTTAACAAAAAAAATCGTTTTTCGGTGTGTCCTCTCCTTCAAAAATAGCGTATATTGGCATTCAAAATCTTAAGTGTCGATCAGTCAAATTGGATGCCCTAAAAAGTACCAAAAGGCCAAAGAGAGAAATTTTTGAAAATTTTATGCCCCACAAGCTATGGAAAGCTCCAAATGAGGTCTTTTTCATGTGTGAACGTATTTTTAAGAGAAAATTGCCTCCCGAATCGAGCGCCCATGGATCATAATCGATTATATTGTCATAATATGGTCAGCATTTACAAAAGACAAAAACATCTATTATAACCCATTAGAAAGGGATTATGTTCTTCAAAAAAATTTTGTCAATAGATACCATTATAATCGAATATAATGCATTGAAAATTGATTACAATCCTAATATAATTTATGCCAATGAAATCCATTATAATCGAGTAAAATCGATTATGAAGGATTTTTCGAGGGGTTATTCACGAAAATTAAAATTTGGTTAAAATTATCACATTTCCTGGTTAGTGCAGTTGCTACATACTAAGTTTCGTAAAATCTAACCTTTCAAAAAAAATCTTTTAATTTTTTTTATTTCGTCGCAGGTTAAAACTTCATTTTACTGTTTTTTACCACAATCCCCTTCCCCCAGTTTACCTCTAATTTACTGACCCCTCTACCCCAGTTAAGCCCCCCCTCCCCCGTTATGCCCCACCCCCAGTTTACCCACGCCCCCCACAGTTTACTACCTCCAACCACTTTACTACCCACCAATTTACTACCCCCACCCAGTTTCCCAGTAAAAAGCTTGAGGGCCGAGGCGATGACGTAGAGACATGGAATTTAGTAAAACACATGGCATTCCTTCCGCAAACTTCTCGCAAAGTTAGCTAACTTTTGCAAAAATAGTTAAAACTAGTTCTAAAAATGAAATGAACTATAGTCGATTATGATCGATTACAATGCATTTTTATTTCAAAAATTACCAAAATGGATTTTTTCGAGATGTTTTTTACAAAATTTGCAATTTTGTTCAAAGTTATCTCATTTCCTGTTTAGTGCAGTTGCTAGATCTTACTTTTCATGAAATTTTACATTTCAGAAAAAAATATATAAATTTTTTGTCTCTGCTTTTTTTAACTTATCGCAGATTAACACTTCATTTTACTGTTTTTTTACAACACTCCCCTCCCCGCAGTTTAACGACAATACCC